CTGAAGTACACTGCTGAGGGGAGCAGCAGGCAAGACAGGAGAGGTCTGTAGCGCCATGTGGGTCACTGCCCTTGCTGAGAAAGGAACTTGTGCTGCAGTGGCCTTGGATAGCTTCATGGTGCTGTGCTTTAACTCGTTGCACCACCAGGGAGGGCCCTGCTGCGCATCTTTTTATTCATGCTTGTATCTAGGGCATACTACTGTGGCTACTTTAGCTCCGCAGGGAAATTGCTTTCCAGTACACACTTGATTTATTTGAGACATAAAACACACCTGCACCACTCCCAGCTTTTTCTTAAAGTCATTTTCTTCTCCTAGTTACACCCCCTTACTCATGAAAGTCTTCAGTATATGACACACACAATCTTTCTCTTCCCACTGCTGCTGTCACCACAAGACAGCTTGACTGCTTAAGAGCGGCCCTCCCAGCAACTCAAGCTGGACATTCTTTGACATCATCAAAGCTTATGTTCTTCCATTTCCTATCAACATCCCACCTGCATAGTCATAGTCTGTGCCAGTTTATCACCTGAGAACTTTGTTATGCCAATTGTTGGCTGCACTTTTCTGTCCACGCATTCCTCCTGTGGCCTGTCATTAACTAGCCTCAACCCCGCATACCCTCCGACCAGTAGTTAAAGGCAGCTTCAGCTACTGAGTTCCTGCATTTTTCTCCCACTAAGGTTCAGCCAATTATTAGGCTTGGTTGGGTCCAACTATGCACCTCATCCACTCACCCCTGAAGTGGCCCTGCTGGGTGATGTGACTTTGCTAGCTGATGTGCTATCAAAATCTCCAAGGTAGACTGCTTCAGGAGTATTTCACTTCCAGAACAGAGGGCTTATTTATACTCATGTGTTACAGCAATGGTTTCACTGTTGGTTCTAAAAAAACCCCTTGAGCTTGGTCTTTCATCTCCTCATTCCCTTTTTTATCTACATCATCTACTCCTATTCCCCTGCTCCACTTATTGTGAACTTTTTTATTTGTAGATTTACAATATGAATAGGTTTCTGGCCATTTATTTTTACTTAAGATGACTCACTGTATTGGTATCATTCTAATTCTCACATCTTCCCCCCCTGCAAGTCTTACAGAGATTAATTTCTGTTGCTGTATGCAAATGCACCTTTAAGGTAGTGTTTCCATTGTTGCATAAACCTAGGGCACAGTCAGCACTTCCATCTGCCCTTTCAGTGATCATCACTGGCTTCCTGCAACTCTGCTGCCCCCACCAGCAGCACAACGATGAACTTCTCGCAATATATCTGCTAATGGACATGAGAAACAGTTCATGGGGATATATCCAAGGAAAAGAATTGTTGGCTCATAGAGTATATTTGTTTGGACCAAGTAGTGTAGCATTGCTCTCTGGATTGTCTTAATGTGCCTTTACCAGTGAATAACATCTGTATGGTCATATCTATCATGACCTGTCTCACACAGAATACATATACTGTGTCAGAAGGTAAGTCTGCTGCTAGTTTTCCTAGTTTAGTTTCATAGTCCTATATGCTGGTAAATCTTTTTTCCATAACTTACGTTCTACTTTTCTGTTTCTTAGCTCTGACAGTTCTTAAACACATTATGCACCCTTTAATCCTGATTCTCTTGTCTTTTTGTTGGCAAGTTAAAGTATCTACTTTTGATTTTTTAAAAAGATTTATTTATTTATGCATACAGAATTGTGTACAGGCTAGAGAGGTGGAGGGGCGGTGAGAGGATTCACCAGAGACAGAGTGGGGAGCAGAACAGGCAGATCGATGAAGTAGACTGCTGAGGGGAGCAGCAGGCGGGTCAGGAGAGGTCTGCTGCGCCACGTGGATCTCCTCCGGTGGGGATCGAACTCATGCTGAAGTGGCTTTGGCGTTTTAGTTCTGTGTTTTAACCCGCTGTG